TTTCCCAACCAAAATGTAGAATGCAGGAGATTGGGTGTTGTTTCCTGGTGTGTCACTGGATCCTCATGGTGGTCCTGTGGGCTCTGGTGAAACTCAAAGGCTGGCCTAATATGTGTAATTGTACATGGCTGAGCTGTAATTCAGGCCTGTTACCAAATACCATATTCCTGCCAAATAACTCCTGTCTCTAAGGGAGGAAATGTCTCTAAGGGAAGTACTGGGAAGGGTGGGGGTCGGTTGAGATGTCCCCAAGTACTTAAGCTCTACTGAAGGTGAGGTGGAGTCCTGCTCACTCCTGGCTGTTGTACCCTTTGTAGATGATCTTCTGCGCAGGAACCAACAGCTGACCATACAGGTGGCTTGCCTGAACCAGGAGCTGACTCAGCTGAAAAGGCTGGAGGAGACAGTTGCTCTTCTCCATGAGAGTCAGAGGTAGGAGCGGTCTGACTGGCTGGTTTCAGAGCACGTGTTCATGTCTCTTTATCTGCTCTGCTTTTCTTGGAAACTAGACTCTACACCTGTGTAAATGAGTGTATGGAAATCTCCTGTGCTAGGCCAAGTTAGCTCAGAGATCAAAGGACAGCTTTTAGTACTGCCTTTATACACCAGGGCAACCCTTTGCTGGCACTGGTGGGTTGGAACTACTCAGCAATTAGTTTTTCAATGGCTACAATGGGACTGTAGGGTCAGCCAATTGTTTTGGTCATTACATACCCCTCAGATCAGTCATCTGGCTCCTCTGGAAAGTGCCTGTTTGCTATTGAGCACAGAAGACTCACTAAGAGTACTCAGTAGGAAGTAATAGGGAAAGAATCCAAAGTAGCCATGCAGCAGCCTCTTCACAGAGAGCACTTCCAGAGGCCGACTGGAGATGAGTTGGGGGAGGGGCTTAAGGCAACTGGCAGTTAGAACTTTCACTGATGTTTAAATAACCAAACCCCCTACCTTGAAACTCAGACCTCACCACTGATTTTCAGTAGAGTAGCACTAAAACCAGAGGGTCAGACCCAGGCCCTTTCTGGATAGCTTAAACAAACAACAATAACAGCAAACCACCTCATAACTTTTCACCTGGGTATGGTGGCACATGGCTATAACCCCTGCACTTGTGGTAGTAGGAAGGTCAGTACTTCAGGGCCAGCCTTGGCTACATAGTGAATTTAAGGCTAGCCTGTACTATCTGAGACTCTATTTTAAAAAAAAACAAACAAACCAAGCAACAACCAAACTCTTTGTAACTATTTCGAGCTTTGAAGAGTAAAGAAAGGTCAAAGTCATGGTTCTGCATTGGAATTACAGGAAGGATTTGTTGATTTGCTGAAATGCAGATTGCTAGGCTCCAGCCTAGAATTCTGATTGCCACTGTAGGCTCCGAACTTGAGAATTTGTGTTTCTCATATTCCCCATCTGTTCTGTGGCTGCTGGTCTGGGGCCCACACTGCACGTTAGAGCATCTCCTCTAAGGGATGAACATTCAAAATACCTATCTCAGATTAACTTGAAACAACTCTGTGTTTTCCTGAACCTCTCAACTTGTTTATTTCATTTTTACATTGGTTCTTAGGGAAATTTTTTGGTTTGTTTATATAGTTTTATTAAAACATTTATGTCATCTTAAAGTCAAATCCATAAATAAGATTGAGAAGTATCTAGCCATTTCCTTCCCCTCACTAGCCTTCTACAGTGGACTCTGCTGGTGTTATTATCTGCTCAACCTTTATAAAAAAGAACAACTTTTGCCAGGCAGTGGTGGCGCACACCTTTAATCCCAGTACTTGGGAGGCAGAGGCAGGCAGATTTCTGTGAGTTCAAGGTCAGCCTGGTCTATAAGAGCTGGTTTCAGGACAGGCTCCAAAGCTACAAAGAAACCCTGTCTCGGAAAACCAAAAAAGGGAAAAAAAAGAGCAACTTTTATAAAAAGGTGTTATTTTTTATATTCACTCTTATTTTTAACTTTAAAAATGTCATATTCTCTGCCTGTGTGCGCTTTGCCAGCATGCATGTCTGTGCACCATATACTCATGGAAGTGAGAAGAGGGTTCCAGGACCCCTGGAGCTGGAGTTACTGATGTTGGGAGCCACCATGTGGGTGCTGGAAACTTACTGCAGTCCTCTCCAGGCCTGCTTTAACATTGTAAGTTAGTTATTTATTGGGAAAGGGACGAAGGATTGACTATGCTAGGCTATGTGTGGAAGTCAGTTTACAAGGTTGCTTCTTTTCTTCTACCATGAAGGGCCCAGGGATCAAATTCAGGTCGTCAAACATGATTACAAACATCTTTATCCACTAAGCCATCTCATTGACCCAACATTTTTACCTTAAAAAATTAGTTCACGTTGGACAGTGGTGGTGCACACCTTTAATCCCAGCACTTGGAAGGCAGAGGCAGGTGGATTTCTGTGAGTTCGAGGCCAGCCTGGTCTACAGAGCTAATTCCGGAACAGGCTCCAAAGCTACACAGAGAAACCCTGTCTTGAAAAACTAAGAAAAAAAAATCAGTTCACAGTGGTCTGAGTTAGCTCTCAGTCCTTTTTATACCTGCCTAGTACTCATTGTGTGGTTATCCTTTTTCTTAAATTAGTCCTCAATTATAAAATTACCAGTTTAGATGAACAATATTTGACTGCAAAAAATAGTACAGTATGAGCTGAGGTGTGTGTGTACTTCGCAAGTGTGAGGCACTCAAGGTCAGTTCCCACCTCCAGCCCCTGAAAACAAAATAGTGCTGTAATTAATATTATGGGTATATATTTTTTTGAGACAGGGTCTCTCTACATAGCCCTGGCTATCCTGGAACTTTCTATATAGATCAAGCTGCTCTCAAACTCACAGATCTGCCTACCTCTGCCTCCTGAGCTGGGATTAAAGGTGTGCGCCATCACACCTGGCTGTATACATCATCTTTTGGCTTTTAGCGTTGTGTGGTAATTCAGAGTCCAAGAGTGCAGTAGTGGCTTGTACCGTTAGTTAGCTACAGAGGCAAGCTAATAAAGGAAGCAATGATTTGTGAGTGGGAATTGCCGGGCCTGATAGGAGCCGTGCCCCAGTGCGTCTACTTCTCCTCAAGAAAGTGCTTTGGAAAGAGTGGAAGAACCACTCCATAAATGGGGACTATAGCTGCTCCGGTCAATCTGGAACACAGTCAGTGAACTGTAACAAAGGAACTGGAGGTCTGCTTTAAGATAATCCACTCATAAATTGGACAGTTCTATTGAAAGATGTTACTTCATTGTGTATTTGTCTTTAGAAGTCATTTCAGACCTGAATGACATCTACTTTGCTTTTGTGATTTCATGACTGCCTTTTCCCCTGGGCCTCAGATCCCTGGTGGTAACTAATGAGTATCTGCTGCAGCAGCTGAACAAAGAGCAAAAAGGTTATTCCGGGAAATCGCTCCTGCCTCCCGAGAAAAGTCATCCTTTGGGGAGATCCTCGCCCTTTGGGAAAAGCACGCTGTCTTCCTCCTCACCAATGGCACACGACACGGGTCAGTATCTAATACAGAGTGTTTCAGAAGCTGCCCCTGAGCCTAGTTTGTGGAGCTAGCCTTGAAACCTTCACTACCAGCTCCCTTCCAGTCATGGAGGGCCCTCGGTGCCATTGTCACAGTGTTGGGTAGTGATGTTTACCCCAAAGATTAAGAAAAAAAAACTTTTATGATTATATTGTCCCTCTTTTATTTTTCTATTTGTTTCCTCACGTTTGGTCATTCTTTCCTTCTGCCCACACAGATTGTTAGACACCATTTCATACAGAAACATTTGATTGAAAATGTCAGAAAAGGAGAAACAGAGAATACTTTTCAGTGTCATTTGAGGTTGTGGCAGGAAGTTACAAAAGGACATCTGTCAATGTCTTTTGTGTTAGTTGTTCCAGAGACTCTGAAACAACGTTTGGAGTCTCCTCCTGCCATAGTGCAACAGTGTCCACTCTGGAGGAGCCCACAGCCTGGTAAGACTCATGATGAACCTCAGAGGATGGCCTAATGAGAGCGTGGAAGAAGAGCTTGCAGATTAGGATGGTTTCAGGGAGATGATGGAGAGCCTTCTGGACTAGGAATGCAGAGTCTGGTAATCCTTGAGGAATCAGGAATCATGGGTAAGGGACAGAAGTGGGACATGGTACCCTAAGAGTATATGATAGGACATCCATCAGTCCTAGCCTGGAGAGTGCAATGTCAGGAAAATGTCTCCAGAGGACAGTCACCCGAAACCTGAGAATAAACAGGTTACTAGGCAAGCACAGGACCAAGGACGAGAGCAACAGGAAAGTAGCAGCTGTGGTGTCACAGAGTGGCATGTCTCCAGGGCTGGGGGTGGGGGACAGAGGAACTTAGCGCATGGCTCCTTGCAGACTTTCCACTAAGGAGCAGAAGAGTAGGGCCTGCATTTAAAAGGTTTCCTCTCTAAGGAGACTGGGTTACAGTGAAATAGAACTGGCCTAAGCACAAAGAAGCTGGACAGCAGAAGCAACAGAAACAGGCCCACCTCACACAGCTTGTGGACGTGCCTGGGTTCAGTGTCCACTTCACACATGAGGAGTATACATACTTTGATCCTGGTTAATCAGGGGTCTTAAACCTCAGTGGGTCTTCTTCTGTGTCAGCTTTCTCCGAAGCAGCTAGTGTTGCCAGGAAACAAACACTGTCATACCTCTTCACCTGTTAATCCATGTCAGGAAGGGAGGCAGGGGACTGAGACACTGTCTCATGTCCCTACTCAGATGCCATGCAGGGAAGGAATCTTACTGCTACACTCACTGCTCTGAAGCCCCCATGTTTCTGAATTAGAAATATATCCACAGACATTTGGGTTTATCTGACTTTTCAAGAGGAGCCAAAAAATTTTTGTGTGCATGCTCCACAAGAGCCATCTTCTCCTTGTCCCATGAAGAAATCTCCACAGAGCTTAAGGCTCGCATAGAGAGGGGAATATCTGGGTTGTCACATTTTAGAAACACAACTCAGGGTGCAAACCAATCTACTATGCAGACCATCATGGGCAAATCCCATAGTTCTTGTCCCCCCACCCCTCCCTGCCTCTAATGTGATCATCTAATGGTGGCAGCCCAGCGTCCGCTCAGAGCACTTCTAAAGAAGAGAAAGAGCCTTGCAGATGACACAGAAAGTGGCTGGTCCTGCCTCAGGCCAGCAATTCTTCAGGCTGCTGGGAACTCCTAGGTAAATTATTTCAGATTCTGACTTTTCCTAATGTGTCATGTACTCCTGGAAACAAAAAGTAGGTATTAATAATGTCAAGGGAAAAGCCATAGTGGTCACCATGCAGGGCTAACTGGACCTAACTTGGAGGGCAGAAAACCTCTGAAGCAAAGAAAACCACGGAGAGCGGCTGTTACTCTAGGCCTGCCCTACTGGGGGAGAGAAGGAAGCAAGTCTGGTGTGCAGTCAATCCTCAGGGAGGTAGGTCTCTGCCCAGAGAGAAGGGCCTACTTCTCTACTGTAGACATGGCTGTAATGGGGTGTTCTTGTCAGCCTGGCCTTGCTGGAGAAGGTACCCACAGTTTTCAACTATAGCGAGTCTCCCTGGTTCTAAGTGGACCTTGAGGTACTTCTGGCTCTATGTGGTTTTTGAAGGAAAACAAGGGATTTTACTCCTACCAGGAGAGTTAGGGGCCAAGCATCTCTCTCTCTCTCTCTCTCTCTCTCTCTCTCTCTCTCTCTCCCTCCCTCTCTCTTCCA